GGGATGTTTCCTGACAGTTCTGGCGGCCAGTCTGAAATTCTTTCAACTAGAAGCATCTGCTGAAAAGACCGATGTCGGTAGCGACAGAAACTGCGGGGAACTCTGCAAAAAACGCATCTTCGCACGGGCAGCCCGTGCGTTGGCCAATTTTTCATTAATTGTCAAAATTCGACTGTGTTCCTCTCCACCGTGGGCCAACAGCGCTAAAAAAACTGCATATGTTAACACATAGAAGATTTCAGGCCCCCATCTTCTTCCAATCTCTTAGCTAAGTATATTCATTGTTTATATCTTTAAAATCCTACATTCCCCCATTGCAAGCGCTGTCTGATAAGAGTATTTCTTCCAAGCAATACACTGATCAAAATTTGATTTCATAATATTATTTGCTTTGTTTTTTTCCAACTTTAACATATTTTTCTATTAAAACTTATAGTTAAGAATTACAATGGAACCTGTGGTTATCGCGAAAAGTCTTCCACAGTATGCTGGTGCATTGTTTTTCAACAGCACACAATTCGCGTTTTCTTTTGTTCAGCTCTCTGTCCAGTTTTGCCTCCTCAGCTTCGAGTTTCTTGGATTCGACCAGCAGCGATGCTTCCTCATTCTAAAACACAAAAAAAGTGAAACCAATCCAAAACAGCCCCCACAATTATTCTCAATTAGCAGCCTTCACTGATTTATGGCGAGTTCGCCGTGCCAATCGATAAGCTTAGAACAACAAAATGTACAGTTCAACAACATAAAAAAAAAAAGAAAAACTGAAGCAGCGCTTATTAAAAACGGCAGAAAATGAATAGGGGTGGGAGCAATGAAAAGTGTTTCAGAAATTTTAAAGATGCAAACAATGAATATCCCTGGCTAGGAGGAGATGTGAAAGAGAACGGGGGCCTGAAGTCGTCTACATGTTAACATATGCAGTTTGTCTGGCGCTGTTGGCCCAGCGTGAAGAGAGGAACACAATCGAATTTTGATAATTAATGGTTATACTAATAATTAATGATAAGTGAACAAATTAATAATGAGAATTAAATTAATGAAAATGAAAAAATTGGAAGTTTTTTTTCCAGCAAACCAACGCGCACAATAAACACATTTTTTAAGAAATTAAAAAAAAAAACTTTTCGTTATAAGAGTGAAAAAAGCAACAAAACGAGCTCATTAAAAAGAACTTAAACTGCTTGTTGCATAAGAAGCATTAACAGGAGACAGTATATCTCCAAATAAGGTACCATGAACGCAAAAAGGGGCTTAACAGGCTTTTTTAAAGCAATTTACGCAAGTTTAGCTGGGCTGGTCATACAGCGCAAATATGGACTGTGTGGATTATTAAATGGTACTCACGCAATGTTAAATGAATACTGGAAAGAACAAAGCGAAAAGGAAGAAACCATTCAGCGATTGCATGGACATGCATAGAGTAAAGTTACTAGGACTCAAACTGATTCTTTTACGATTCGTTCATTCGTTTCGATGATAAATATTGGTACTAACATACATATTGACTTTACAGGTACATCTGTCAGTTCAACATACGTAATGGTGGAGGTAACGTCTTATAAAATGCATTTTCAACTTGTATTTTAACTTTTTTATCTTAACTTTCCTTCTTCATTTTCCTTTTACCACACGGCATGCTACTTTCGCTGCAACCGTCACACTGACAATGTCCAGTTGCAGCACTGAATAGAAATGTAAGCGACTTGATGCATCGAAACATTCCCATTCAGATTTTAATTTATTCTCATTCCCCTTTTTTATTTCCTTACAATCTTTCATAAACATATACCAACTAAAATTAGAATTAAAATACTTCAGAGTTAAACCCAGCAACAGCATTTGCTTATATAAAACTCTCGAAAAAGGGAGCCATCGATAACCTTGCCAGTGAATGACTGATGCTGTTGGCATTTGTTACCACTCCTGTTGCTTCATGGGTCCCTTCGCTTCTCACTGACACAGCTAATATGGGATTTTTCAATGGCATCGATGATTTTTTTTTTTTAAATTTTTTGTTGACTTTTTAATTTTTTTATTGAATTTTTCGATTTTTGTTTAAATTGATTTTTTTAAAATTCACAACGGCATCGATGAGAAAAGGGAAATAACGATAAAACAGCTGTTGTTCAAGGTATTAAGAACAAAAATTGTGCTCGAAAAAAATGACCTTCATTGAGGAAAGTTTTGCTCGCAATGCAGTTTTATCCAAAAACGAAGTATCTGGTCGTTCTTTCAGAGAACGCATCAAGCTGTTGTACTGCGCGCATTCCTCATCCAACTCTTGCAAATGCTGATCCATGCCAGAAAGCAAGCGCTCCGTACAAACCTTCAAATTTTTGAAGTAAATTTATTTCTTATTTTTGTATTAAATTAAAACTTTAAAATTGAAGTAAATTTATTTCTTATTTTCGTACTGAATGAATGAATACAGTGATTCCCCGCATGGCTACAGAGGATTTCCAGTTTGGATTTGTGATCGATGATCTTTGGGAAAATAAGTAACGGCTATTAGAAGACCGAAACAAAGTGGAGAGTCCAAGCCGAGCAGCCGAAGTGGGTTAAAATGATAAATAATTTGCAGCCGTTGGTACGCCGAATCGTAATTTTTGAAATAATCGGCCAGTCCAAATCGTGGAAAATATGGAATGGCTGTAATTCATGAATTTTAATATAGGGTGGAAATAGAGAAGAGATTATGGAGGGAAGAGTAGGGCTGCTAATACGTTACGACCGGTATAAAATGTTGAAAAGTCATGTAAAGAGGAATATGTAGAAGTTCTGCAAAAGATTAACTTCAACCACAACTCATTCTGAAGCAGTGGCTATTACACTATAAACACAGAGTTAAAAGACCATGCGAAAGGTGGGAAGGACATAATAAATTTGCAATTTTTCTCTCAATAGCGGGAGGGAGAAGTGGGAAAAAGAAAGCAAAACCACAAGCAGGAAAAACCATTGTATGATATGGCTCCAGCCATAACAATCATGAATATAGGAGAATCCAACGGTGGGACGGCAAAGGGTCTTTCGCTCCCCCACCCCCCTCCCCCGTCCTCTTCCAAAAGAGCAGGCATCAGTTTTAGGAAAAAGTCCGGGTTTAAAGCCAAAACTGAATAAAACTCGTCGCCCCTCCCCTCCCCCCTCCTTCGTAGGAGCTCCACTCCCCTTCCCCTCCTCTCTCCCGCTCGTCGAATCCACCTTCCCCGAGGAAGTCGCCCTGGATTGGCTTACGGTCATAAAAAAGTTATTAGCCGTAACAAGGCCCTAAAAAACCCCAAAAACGAAATGGATGCCATACAGAGTAATACTGTGTAAGCAACAAATAAAGAAATTACTTCACACATTGGTCCTTTCAGTGCCGAATCCGAATTACTGATCATGTCGAAAAGATTGCCGGATGTTCCGGGCTGAGTCCCGGGCAAGCAGATGCGATGCTCATACTGCAACAAAATTATTTGACTTATAGAAAAACTGAAAAACTCCCAAGATTGACCTGGTTGCTGCAATCAACTAAAAAACCAATAAAAACAAAAATATACCGCAGTGTTTACGAATTTTGGCCATAGCAGTATATTCTCAGTGAGATCGGTAATGCCGTTGAATGAAGGTTGTGGAACATGTTAGATTATTCTTTTTTTTTTAAAAAAAACCTTTCTTTGAATCTCTTTTTTTAAAATCTTATCTTTTTCTGGACAGATTTTGGGAATCCCTTGTATTACAGAAGCCCGCTGAACGAAGGTTGTGGAACGTGTTAGATTATTAATCTTTTTTTTTTTTTAAAACCCTCCTTTAAATCTCCGTTTTTAAAATCTTATCTTTTCTGGAGAGATTTTGGGAATCCCTTGTATTACAGACGCACGTACCCACAAAAAAGGGATGCAACACGTTGCAGGAACTGTTTTACTGCTCTGCACCACCGGTGTAAAAAAGAGCAATGGTTATACCAGAATGAAAACTTTGTTCGCCATTAATCTTTTTTTTTTAAAAAAAAACCCTTTTTCAAATCTCTTTTTTTAAAACTTTCCTTAAAAGGCCTTTTTTTTAATATACTTATTATATATTTA